AAAAAAAAAAAAAAAAAATTAGCAGGTGGCCCTTCTTGCCACTGTGATATGGTTAGTTTAACAACAGAACATTTACAACACCATATCTGATTGACACAAATGATCATTTTATAGAAAATCCAAGATACAAAGATGACCCTTTGCTTGTTCAAAAAAAAATTTTTTTTTTTTAAGAAACAGAGTCTCACTTTGTCACTCTTAGTAGAGTGCTTTGGCGTCACAGCTCACAGCAACCTCCAGCTCTTGGGCTTAGGTGGTTCTCTTGCCTCAGCCTCCCCAGTAGCTGGGACCACAGGCACCTGCCACAATGCCCAGCTATTTTTTATTGCAGTTTGGCAGGGACCAGGTTTGAACCTGCCACCCTTGTTATATGGGGCCAGCACCCTATTCACTGAGCCACAGGCGCCACCCTGCTTGTTCAAATTTTTAAATAACAAATGTAATATAGCAAATAACTAAATTATGGGATTTAGAAATATAGATACTTGATTTATGATGGGGTTACATTCCAATAAACCCATAAGAAGTTGGCTCGGCACCTGTGGCTTAAGCGGTTAAGGTGCCAGCCACATAAACCTGAGCTGGCAGGTTCAAATCCAGCCTGGGCCCCCCAAACAACAATGATGGCTGCAACCAAAAAATAGCCAGGTGTTGTGGTGGTCGCCTGTAGTCCCAGATACTTGGGAGGCGGAGGCAGGAGAATAGCTTGAGCCCAGGAGTTGGAGGTTGCTGCGAGCTGTGATGCCACGACACTCTATCCAGAGCTACAGCTTGAGGCTTTGTCTCAAAAGAAAAAAAAAACCCACAAGAAGTTGAAAATACTTGAAGTACAGCAGCACAGTGGCTGATGCCTGTAATCCCAGCACTTAGGGTTGGGGCAGGGGTGGGGTGGGGTGGGGTGGGGTGGGGTGTGGGGGTGCAAGGCGGAGATGGGAAGAATGCTTGAGGACAGGAACTCAAGGTCAGCCTGAGTAATACTCAGAGACTTGTCTCTACAAATCCCAGAAAAATTAGCGGGTATAGTGGGTAAGTTAAGGAAGATTACTTGAACCCAATAGTTCCACGTTGCAACGAGCTGTGAGGGATCCACTGCCCTCCAGTTTGGGTGACAGAACAAGACCTTGTCTTAAAAAACCAAATAAACAGAAAAAGAGAAAAGCATTTCATTCACCTAACCTATTGAACACCACAGCATCACAGTTTAGCCTGGCCTATCTTTTTTTTTTTTTTTTTTGAGACGGAGCCTCAAGCTGTCCCCCTGGGTAGAGTGCCATGGCATCACGCTCATAGCAACCTCCAACTCCTGGGCTCAGGCAGTCTCCTGCCTCAGCCTCCCAAGTAGCTGGGACTACAGGCGCCCGCCACAACGCCTGGCCATTTTTTGGTTGCAGCCATCATTGTTGTTTGGCGGGCCCGGGCTGGGGATTCGAACCGCCACCTTAGGTGTACGTGGCTGGCGCCTTAGCCGCTTGAGCCACAGGTGCCGAGCCTAGCCTGGCCTATCTTAAACGTGCTCAGAACACTTACATTAGCCTACACTTGGGTAAAATCATCTATCACATAAACCCATTTTGTAATAAAGTGCTTAATATCTCAAATAATTTAGTGAAAGGGATAAACAGAACGGTTTATAATAGTACTTAAAATTATAGTTTCTACCGAATGAATATTGCTTTCGCATCCTGGTTAAAGCTGATTCACCACTGGAGAGAAAAACCATCTGTCTGTACACTGTTTCTCTGTGAAAAATATCTCCCAGGAAGAGAACAGATTTCTATCAGGTTAGATAAGAGCCCAGAAAGATGGTAGCCGAACCTGGTCAATAAAACTCTTAAAACTTGAAAAAGTTAATTTAACACCACAAACCCATCGATGAATACAAAGTCAGTAACAGATTTCCACCCACAACGTAAGAAAGAAAACAACATGAACACCAAGTAGTAATAAACTCTCACATACAAAATAACAAGCTATCTCAATCTAAACTCCCAACAAACATCCCCTACAGGCCACCTTAGCTTTAACTCTTAAAAACGTACACACTATTTACAACTATTACTATCAAATTACGAAATACATATCGTCAGGAAGAATCAGACAGGAGCGAACCAGGGTGTTGCAAGTCCTGGCTACGCAGAGACGCATAATCACGTTTCATGCGAGCTCCAAATCATCATTTTCTAATCTGTTCTCCAGAAGGAGAAACAGGTAAGGATTATCCCACCTGATGATAGCAACAATATTTAAGACACTCCATACTCAGTGAAAAAGATTCCACTATAATCTACGGTGAGCGAACAACGCGTTACGCTGAGGAACCCAACAATTTAGGAGCCTTCTAATTCTATTGATGTACATTTTTTAAAATCTTCAAAATAATCTTTTTCTTCACTCGGCTGCTAAAAAGGGATAAACAATTCCTCCCAGAATGCTCCGCTCACTTACGAGCTGAAAACTCTACCCAGAGTTGCCTTTATTTACATGTCTCCGCCCACTCTATCACATCTACCGTAATAATCAAAATAGAAGCGATACCTACTATCTTAACGGTCTGCAGGACTGGAAAACTTTCCTTTTTTTCTCCAGCAGTTTGGCCAAACTAATTGACCCGTGAAAATTGCATATGTCTTGATCTTACTAGAAACATATTTTATTACAAAATACTAAATAAAACGCTGATAATCCCAAGGCTTGGTAGATAATTTTTCCATCGCTAACATCCTCCACTTCCTAGCAGTTTGAGGGACTGGGACCGAAGTCTTCTTCCGGGAATGGTTAAGTAGCCCTTGCTCCTCTAGCCTTTAGTTTTCCGTTCTCCATGAGGTGATCAGAAAGGTTTCTTTTTCAGTCCAAAGACAGCGACGAATAATGCCATTTCAGTGACAGTTGGGAGGGCGCTGAGGAAGGCAAACAGTGGGTTCAGGGCCCCTTCCAATGTAAACAAACAGTTCTTCAAACCAGAATCCCCACCCCAAAGTGTAGGGGAAGTGGAATGGGGGTGTGGTGTGAATCTTCGAAAGATTACAGAATAAGTAGATCTGGTATTTCACATATTCAGGAAAGGGCTAGGTGGGGGAATCATCAGAGGTAGGGGGAACCTTCCTCCCTCATCCCCAATTATTGGGTGCTACCACACCTGCAGAAGGCAAAAATGTACCAGTACGTGGTGCACTCCCAACGCTCGAATATGAAGAAAGATAGGGCCACAGATGCACTACAGTGAGCCCCGATGGCTTGGGAGGGCACCAGAGTCAAGGAAAGTTCTTTGGATGGACAGGTAGTGATAAGCCAGAAAAGGACAGTGGTGATATGGGGCTGGCATCAGCAGTCAGGTTCATCTCTTGATTCTTCAACATGCTGTAAAGGCTGGAGTCAGCAGCCCTGCCTTCTTAGTTTTAGGCCAGGTGAGAAGAAGCCAGAGCTGAGCCTGCCTAGATAGGACTTCTAGCTAAGCCCATCCCATTTCTAAAGGCGAACTTGGACCTTTCAGGTGGGGTAAAAGTAGGCTACCAGACCACACAGGAATGCTGACAGTGACTTGATACACTCTGCTGGAATTACCCTCTAGTGCCTTGGTGCTCCTAGTCCACAAGTCAAGAGTCAAGAGCCTTCCCTGATCCATGTGTCTCACTTTCTGTCTCGTCTGAGTTCCTATAGTGCTTTGTATCTTTACACACTCCTATAGCATAGTGCTTATCACATTGAATTACAAATGTATGTCTGTGTGTCTGCCTCCACAAGACAGAAAACTGTGTTTTACTCTCATTTTGGGATCTCCAGTGCCTGGTGCCTGGCAGGGTTTAATAGTGTATTAAATCTCTCACAATGCCTAAGATCTTTCAACTGGAGAGACTCTTTGCTGGCTAGGCAAATGACTATTGTGCCTGGAAGGCCTATTCACCTGGTTGCAGGGAGTCGTGATGGAAATGGAGTCGTGTGGGACTAGTGGGCAAACAGAAAGGATACAGATGAGGCTCTGGGTGCTGTTGAACATGGAGACTCCTGAGAGGAAACCGGCCAGCTCCACTGCAAAGAGGCCCAGGGTGATAGAGAGGGCTACCACCAACCTGCAGAGAGGAAGGGGGCTGGGTAAGGCCTTTTCGATTTCTCAGACCCCTCCACTCCCACCACCTCTTCGTTCTGACCACCCTGTCCCAAGAGCTCACTGAATGTCCTGCTTCTCATACTCCTCGGGGGTGAACCTGAGTGGCAGGCAGGCCAAGATGTTGCTTTCCTGGGAGCAGAGTAAAGAAGAGAAGTGAGAAAAAGGCGGGCTGCAGAGCAGGACTTGGAGCGGTGGGGAATGGAGGACTCAAGTGGGTAAGAACCTTGAGGAAGGGGCACGGCTGGGCTGGAACCACTCCGAGTTGTGAACAGGGTAGAAAGAGGGCAGCCGCGGGTCTTACCCGGGACCAGAATAAGGTGATGACGACCACTAGATGCGCCAGAAGCGTCAGGAACCGAGAGGGTACAAGCCCGGATATCCGGCCCATGGCCCTCGGGAACAAGGGCACAGCCCAGAGTGGAAGCCGTTATCTCTCTCTGAGGCCGGAAGCTCACAGACCACCACTCTTGAAGCCTCCGGGGAAGCAGACAAAATCTCGACCAACGCCTCCTTCCCGCTCGTTCAGGCACCGCCCAGTTACCTTGGGAACAACAAGGGCTACGCGGCGCCTGGATCCCGAAAAATCTCGCGAGAGCAGTAAATTCTCGCGCCGCTGCAGGCCTCCAAGCGAGCGCGAGTATGAGTAGTTGGGTCTGTAGTGCAGATTTTGTGCTGACCCCAACGCTAACTCCACGCGCACCCGAGCGGTCTGCACCTGAGAGCAAGCAGTGTGCGGCCACCTAGCATTGTCCATTGTGCCCACAGGGACCAGAAGGCGGAAACCCACCTAGTCCGGGGACACCCGCTTCTGCTCTGGATGCCCATGCCAGGAGCTGCGCTGCCTCTACTCCGTGCTACTACCCAGGGTGAACCTTCGCGTAGCAGTTGATCACCCAAGGGCGCAGTCACCGCCACGCCCAAGAGATGGACTCTTCCCTCCACCCCCTCTTTCTCATCCTTTTAGCTTCCCACTGCTTTGGGTCAGAGAAACAAGGAAACAGAATGTAGATAGCTGGGGGTCCCAGATTATCCGGCATTCACACATTTTTACGGACTCCTTGATTGTCCGAGAGCCCCAGGCTTGAACCTTCCTTGAGGAAGACTCAGATTTTCCCCACAGAAACTTGGCTTAGTTTGGTGAAGGATTTGCAGAGTGCACAAAACGGCCAGCATCCTTGAATTAGGATGTGGATGAAAGGCGTGTTTTGGGGGAGCAGAATGGCACACTGGGGCTGGAAAGAGGGGGAGTGGAGGAAGGGACTATAACGGTCCTTTGCATCTTTGGGAGGCTTAGAGCTGACTGGGACGCAGACTCAACTTTCAATTTCATTATTTCTTTGAGGTGCTGGGCCTCTGACATTACGCAGCTGCACAATCCAAGTATCTCTTACATAGGTGACATCACTGATCTTTGAGCCTCAATGGGGATCCTTCCAAAGACTTCCTGGCTTGTTTCCCACGAGAACAATCTCTCCCTTCCCCTCTACTACAAGTACAAGAGGCATTCCTCATTCAACAAATATTTATGTATTTATTGGTCATTTAGTAAGTGCCAGACACTCTGCTGGGCACTAGGAGTACATTGATGAAGAAGACAAAAATCCCTCCCTTTTTCAAGTTTATATTCTAGTCAGGGAAATCAACAAACTTGTCAACAAATAACAAATCTGCAAGGCAATAGGTGCTATAAATGAATTTTAAAGGGGAAAACTAGAGTAATATGATATAGGAAAGGCTCTTTGAAAGTGGGTCATTTGTTCTTAAACTTGGTTTTAGAGAATTTGGCTAAAAAGGAGAGGGAATTCATTTTTCTCTTCCAGGCCCCCAAAATAATAAATAAGTTTTCTTTTTCTAAACCAGTGAGTGAAAAAAATTCAGAGCTCACAGTAGACAAAGACGAAGGCTTTTCCAAATTAAGGGAGACTAAAGAAAGGTGACAGATTTGGCATGGCAAATTAAGGTGGGATCCTGGACAGGAAGAAGACTTTTTCCTTTTATTACAAAGGACAGCAGTGGAAAAATTGGCACAATTCTAGTAAGGTTTATAGTGTAGATAATAAGATTATTATCAGGGGCCAGGAAAGATAGCTAACGCCTCTAATCCTAGCACTCTGGGACACCAAGGTGGTGGAGTGCCTGAGCTCAGGTGAACTCAGATGTTCCAGACCAGCCTGAGCAAGAGAGAGACCTCCCTCTCTTTAAAAAAAAAAAAATAGCCAGGTATTGTGGCAGGTGCCTGTAGTCCCAGCTACTTGGGAGGCTGAGGCAACATGATCACATGGCACACTCTACCAAGGGTGACAAAGTAAGACTCTGTCTCAAACAAACAAAAAACAACAACAACAAACATTTGTATCAAGGTCAATTTCCTGATTTTTTGATAATTATGTAAGAGAATGTGTAAGAGATTCCTGTGTAAGAGAATGTCTTAAGTATAAAGACATTATACAGTGTCTTAAGTATACACACTGAAGTACTTATACAGTGTCTTAAGTATAAAGACATTATACAGTGTCTTAAGTATACACACTGAAGTACTTATACAGTGTCTTAAGTATAAAGACATTATACAGTGTCTTAAGTATACACACTGAAGTACTTATACAGTGTCTTAAGTATAAAGACATTATACAGTGTCTTA